AACTATATTAAATAGCATAGGGCCAAGAACCAATCCCTACAAGACCCCACTGGGAACAGACCTGCTTGATGAGGATTCCCCATTTTACAGTTACATTTTGAGACCTATCAGTTAGCCAGTTTTTAATCCACTTCATGTGCGCCGTGTTCATTTTATATCATTCTAGTTTTTTTAATTAAAATGTTGCACAGTACCAAATCAAACACCTTGGTGAAGTCTACATATTTATGTCAATACGATTACCTTTATCGATGAAACTTGTAATCTCATAAAAAAATCAAGTTAGTTTGACAGGACCTATTTTCCATAAAGTCCTGATGATTTGCATTAATTACATTACCCCCCCTTTAGTTCATTATTAATTCATTTATAAACGTTCCTTCTGAGAAAAGGTCTCTCGAAGCATTCCATGGGCAGCACAACGAGCGTGAGACCAAACTGAACTGCCAGTACAAACAAGGATCCTTCACACAGTACCATGCATGGGAGGATCTTCTTAGCACTACAGTAGTGGTTAAATCAGAAGGATTACTCACCACTCCCCACCCGGACACCTGCCAGGCACAGCAGAAGAGATCTTTGTTTGATGTCTCATCCGAAAGAATGACGCTTCCCACACAACACAGTACTTCCCCACCGTGGCTAGTCTAGTGTGAGATTCCATACAGCTAGCCTGCAGAGCGTGGTCAGCCCCATGCATTAGGCAGGAATGTGGACTGGTGCTGCTCCAGTAGGAGCATCACGAAGGGTGATGAATGTACCCTGCAGATTACAGTGCTGCGAAAGAGAGAAAGGGATACAGGAACAACAGAAAGCAAACAGGGATGGGGAACTCAACACGAGCTGTTCAAAAAACAGTCGCTGTTCAAATGACACCTGAAGTGAAGCAAAGGCCATCATTACTGATTAAGTCCTTGGGCATCAAACTGTTTCAGATATTTTATGGAGACAGACACACACTCACTCACTCCGCTACTGGAAAGCCCACCAGCCAGGACAAATGGGATCTCAAAAATAACTGGAAACCACTGGCCTGCACTGTACTCCCAACAGATGACTGGACACTTTAGCATCGAGCAAAGCTCACACTCAAACATGCAGCTCTTTCTGGGATTCAGATCCGTCTCTGAAATCAAGCCGAGTTGTCAAACCACAAAGAAAGGGTTTGGGGGCAGCTTGAGCGTGCAGGGGCCTGGTCTGCCCATGTTAAACAGTGTTCCACAATACAAGAGCTACCAGGAGACGAATGAGTGCCCTCCAACTCTGTAGGCTCAATACTAATGCACAAAAGTTTACCAGGGCCTGGTTCGAGAGGAAATCTGAGTTTATACAAGATAGCCAGAGATGGATGCACCAATCGTATGACTTGAGCACTCCCAATCCGAGAGACGTGCTGGCCAAAGGCCAGTCTGCCTGATGGGGCTGTGCAACTAAAAAGGTCACAAATTCAGCCAGCACTTCAGAGATGCACAAAGAACAGCCTTGGGAATTAAAACTGGAGCAATGCTTGTAATGCTATTGGGAGTCACAAGATGGTGCTATTATAGACATCATGAATTCCACCCAACTGAAGGGATAGGCAGCGTAACAAAGGTGATGCCAGGAGAGCCGATCTTCATTTCTTGGGCCTGGGTTACAACAGGTTGCACTCGTCACATGGCAATGATCAGCATCTACTGATTCCAGGGGCTACTTCTACCTCCTTGTGAAACATCAAAATGTAAATAAGAGATCATCCCACCCTGCACCACAAAAAAAAAAAATCAAAATAATACAACCAATTAAAAAAAAAAAAAAGAGAGAGAGAGAGGGGCCCCTAGGACAGAGATAATGGATACCTCTCAATCAGCTACCATCTCTGAATCTCAGGGGCTTTGACAACATGGCACTTGTTCTCAGAACTGTTCCTTCTCTGCAATGACTTCAGCGGAGGATACCGTGTGCCACCTGGAGCAGGCATGTGCTAGTCCTGTTTTAACATGGTCAGTAACTGGGTGAGCTCATATCACTTCGGTCAGCCCCCTTCTGGAGGTCCCCACGAAACAGAGAGCCAGGGACATCCTAAGGTTCATTTAGGTGTCTTTTGTGCCTCCCGTATGACTGAAACTGGGTGGTTCTGATGTATGACCTTGTGCAGAGGGCACTGCGGTGACCTACGAAGCATGCCAGCCACTCAGCTTGGAATCTAACATTCTCCCCGAATTACAGTGGAGATGGGGGGTAGCATTTCAATGTTCATGTCTCAATATTTCTTCTGGTCCATTTCTACCTTAAGAAATTTCTGCCCGGTAACAATTTTGTGAAATTGCCTTAATTAACAATAGGTAGCATGGCTCAATGCCAGTCTGGACAGAGTTTTCTTGTGTTCTCGTCCATGCCCTAGGAGCACAGGCCAGCAATTGGACAGTAGGGTTACCAACTTTCTAAATCGCAGAAAACTGAACCTCTGTGCCCTGCCCCTTCCTTGAGGCCCCGCCCTTGCCCCCACCTCCTCTCCGAGGCCCCACCCCACCCCTCTCTTTCTTCCCCCCCCCCACCCTCACTCACTTTCACTGGTCTAGGGCAGGGGGTTGGAATGCAGAATGGGGGGGGGGAGGGCTCCAGCTGGGGGTGTGGGTTCCAGGGTGGGGCCACAAATGAGGGGTTAGGGTGCAGGAGGGGGCTCCAGGCTGAAGCAGAGGGGTTCAGAGTGTGGGAGTGGGCTCAGGGCAGAGGGTTGGGGTGCAGGGAGGGGGGGCTCCAGGAGGGGGTTCCAACCTGGGGCAGAGGGGTGGGGCTAGGGGCTCCAGCCAGGTGGCGCTTACCTCAGGCGCCTCCCAGTCCACAGTGCAGCAGGGATAAGGCAGGCTCCCTGCCTAACCTGGCTCCACGCAGCTCCCATGTCTGGCTCCTAGGCGCAGGGGTGACCAGGTAGCTCTGCACAGTGCAGACTGTCCGTGCCCACAGGCGCCACCCCTGCAACTCCCATTGGCCACAGTTCCTAGGAGCAGTGCTAACCAGAGCCGCCAAGATCCCTTTCAACTGGGTGTTCCAGTCAAAAAACCAGGTGCCTGGCAATTCTATTGGGCAGTTACTTCCCAGAGAGGCAGCTCCCAACTGAGATCTTAAGTGTCAGTAACCTCAAACTATTTCAGTGCCAAGGCTTCTGCCTTTTGTAAATTTAGTGTTTTAGTGATGTGGGTCCCAGGATATGACACACACAAAGTGGGTGAGGTAATATTGGACCAATTTCTGTTGGTGAGACAGACAAGCTTTTGAGCTTACACAGAGCTCTTCAAGTCTCTTCAGTGTTTAGTGACATGAAGAGCTCAAAAGCTTGTCTCTCACACCAACAGAAGTTTGTCCAGTAAAAGGTATTAACTCACCCACCTTGTCTCTCAGTTTTAAATGTATGCATTTTTAATTTAAGCTTTTCTCTTGCCAATCATTCCAGTGCTACTCTGCCCGGTCCTAAAATAAGCAGCCAGAACAATTCAGGCTAATAGTCTTCAGGCTATTTGAAAAATTACTTAAGACAGAAAACCATCCAGCCAAGTTAGAATGTCACAAAATTAAACACCAAAAAAAAAGATTCTAAATCTCAGGGTTTATATTTGCTAGAGTTTTCAAAGATAAACTTCAATTTTATACCCTTTTTCTTTTCAGTGAATATGCCTATTTAATGAGTAACTTTACAAGTATGTAGATAGGATGTTGATCCAGTAACAGGATGGATTTGTTAGCAGTGTAGCTTCAATCACATTTTTAAAAAGGAGAATGGGCAAGAATTTGGCAAGTTGTTTTTAAAACTGTATTTTGAAGGTTAACATGCACTCTTTACAGGAATGGAGAGCCAAAAAAAAAAAGTCAGTTCTGGGAAATTTAAAGAGCTCAGCAGAAGTCTGGTCACAAGAATGTAAAATATAAAATGTCCCATGTAAAGTGGTCATTGAAATAAGACCAACCACACACCAAAGCACAAATGAAAAATGAGTAAGACTAACCAGTGGCCAAATGAAAACGGAGAACCAAGAGTATTAACAGCAATGTGAAAAATTAAAATTCCCAGTGACTATCATCATAAGAGAAGCTCAATATTTGATGGATGCTTTTCGAAGAGGGTGGAACTATGTTCTGCCTAGATTACCATCAAGACATTTCTTTACTAAGCATGAGATTATCTCAAACCCTGTTCTGTAGCTACTAGTGATAAAGTGGGGATAAATAATTCCATTCACTTGGTTGGCTAATTATTGTGCTGCCTGGCTGTCTGCAGCCTTAAGATTACTAGAAGAGTCTAGCAGGTAGAACAAAGACCTGGAAGTCACGAAGCCCTAGGCAAGTCACGACCTCTGTGCTGAGGTTTCTGATTTGTGAAGTGGGAATATTGGACACCACATCTCTGTAAAGGGCACTGAGACTGGTGGATGAAGAGTACCTTATGAAAGCTCAAGTTTGTAAGGTCTGAAGTCAATGGGAATTAAAAGCTCCGAGCACCTTGCAAGATCCAGCTCCAAGCATCAAGTATTTTTATTACCCCTGCCTTAGCCCACAATCTCTGGGAACCTACCGGGATGAAATCCAATCCTGGCACAGGTCTCATGTGACAAGGAGTTTGGTGGCCTTATCTTAGTCCCTCATTGGCTCTGGTGCACATCAAAAAGCCCCGCTGCAGGTCAGAGCGCCTGGCGTTCTCGGAGAGCCAGAGTAGTGGCATTTCAGGTCAGTAACACCACGTGCCTCAATAAAACTGTATGAGGAAGCTTGCACAGCTAAATGCCACGCAGCAAAGCTACAGACATCGGGTAGGGTACTGATTTCAGTTATACCGGTATAAATCAGGAGTAACTCCTTTGACTTCAGTGAGTTACTTCCAATTCATACTGAGTTAACTAAGATCAGAATCTGGTCCCATATGGCCCAATCCTATTTGCTTTGCCCAGATACACATTAACTGAATCAGCATCGCAGGGCCCGGCCTACAGATTGAATATACAACACGAGACATTAAGGGCTTTTACCTCACTAAGTTGGCACAAGGTCCTGGCCACCGGCAACTCTGATAAACTCTCTGGATCACCGTCTCCGAGCCATTCTGCACTTGGCAGGAAACCGTCCGTGTAACCGTGTAGTGACACCAGTGCCTGCAAAGAAAAAGAACACTTTAAATCCCAGTAGTGCAGCGAGCTGGGCAACATACGTCAGTCTGCTGCCAGCTAGGTTTACCCAAATATTTGTAATCCTCAAAGTGTTGCCTCGAGGAGATCTTCTGTGTCCGCTAATCAAAGAAATGAGAGACAGAAGAAACCTAATATGACATCTTGTCCGTTTTCCAGAGGCCAGAATTTCTTACAGTGCACTATCTGGTCTCCTTTCAGGCACTGTAAGTGATGAGACTCAGGGAGGTCTTTCCAATAGTTTCCCAAAGATTCAGCGTAAATTTTACTTGCCTTAATTTCATCCCATTACTTCTGGCATTATTCCCCAACTCCCTTCCACTCTGAACAATTCCTTGCACTTTGGGTGTTTACAATTTTCAGATAATTGTGGGTTTATTATTCATAACTTTCTGCAAGGTGCCGTACAGACACTGTTGCAGACCCCAAAGAGTTTACAACCTAAAGAGGCAAGACAAAAAGGTAGCATACTACTTTAAAGATGGGAATTTGAGGCAGAGAGATTAAGTCATACAGGAAGCCTGTGGCATAGCCAGGAATTGAAACCAGGGCTCCCAAGTCCCAGTCTAGTGGTTTGACAAAAGCAGCATCCTTCCTGTCCTCTGGATAATTGCTTTTAATCTTAGTGAATATAACTGTTATTCACATGTTCCCCACTCAGTGAGATTTTTTTTTCCCTCCTCCTCCTTTAAGGGGCATTTAGATCCAGCCAGGCCGCCTCTCTTTTGCGAGCACAATCTACATTCGCCAAACTTGTGCCCACATTTTCGCTCTTGTATCGGAACAGAGGTAGCACACAAGCCCTGGCATTCCTACCTGACTGGGGTGCAAAAATCAGGGAGAGCAGCGAGAGGCCTCTGAATTGAGCCCAAAGGTAACTTTCATGCTCGAAATACAGGAGGGAGCTTTGCTGGCACAATGCCCACAAAAGAATCCTGTGCCTCAGTATTTAAGGTAGCAGGTGCCCTTCAAAAACCTCTGGTTCATGGCCATCAGCTTTTGAGGAACGAGAATGATGGTGCCTTCAGATGTTTTACCCTGTGGGGGTTGCAGTGTGCTCACTACACCAACATAGTTGTACTGATGCAAACACTTAAAGTAGGTGTGCTCCACTGATGTCAAGCGAGACTTCTTCCAGTATGGCTTATCCAGGTTTCAAACCCTACTGCAGGATTCGCACCTGTACAGCTACACCAGAGTGAAGACACCCCAGCGTGGCCAATCCTTTATTCTGTAGGTACGATAAGGGTGCCCAACCCTGTTTGCTTGAATTGCCCTACCCGTGTGCAGGTAGGTGCACCCCTTCCGCAACCTAGTCTTCCCTGTTCCCATTCTGTGTCCACTCTCTCTCGCCTGCCTTGCCTTTGTCCTTTTCAGCCTCTGTTCTTTTCCCCTTCTCTGCTTTCTAATTTATTTCCTTTTCTTGATCCTCCTCCCATCTCCCCAGGAGGCTCCATGATCTTCAAAGAGAGGGGGAGACTCACACCTGTAGCTCCACAGAGTTGGGATGAATGCATCCAAACAGCTACGTCAAGTGCTGCGGCATCAGAGCAGAGGATCAGTCAACTGACCCCACAGCTACAAACAGGGCTGGCAGCTGCTGCGGGAACAGGGAAGGAAGGGAGTGGCTTTCAAATAGCTATCATTGCTTCACCTGCAGCCATGGGAGCTCATTAACAGCAGCGATCCAAAACCCACATAGCTTTTGTTGCCAACATTGCTCCCATTGACTCTGGACTAGCATGCCACCCTGTCTTAGGGTGACCAGATATCCCGATTTTATAGGGACAGTCCTGATATTCAGGGCTGTGTCTTATATAGGCACCTATTCCCCCCACCCTTATCCCTGTCCCGATTTTTCACACTTGCTATCTGGTCACCCTCCCCACACACCTCAAGGGAGCCCACTGTGACATTTCACTCCATATTCTTTATGAAAAATGCGCTTAGGATATGAATATGACATAACAGATATACTTTATGCAAGACGGCTCATGTGAGAGATCATTGGAAAGATTAGGATTTACTGAATGCGATTATCCAGCTTGTATGCCTGTATCATTTCTGTATCTTAAGTTAGGAATATTGACTACGTATTTGTATTTCAAATGTGTTACTTTGGGTGTCACCCCCAACCAGCTCTTCAAGTACAACAATGGAAAAGCCAGACATGGCTAATGGCCCATTAGCAAAAACAATGGACTGTGAAAGAGTCTTCCTGTGGATGCTCCAGACAGCCTACGAGCAATGGCTCCCATAGCCCTGCAGAGACATGGGTCTGAGTCACGTGGTACTGGACCCACCCCCTGGAATGCCAGTGTTCTTCCACTGGGAGACAAAGGGTTCCCCACGTACACAAGAAGGCAGGGGAGTGACATAATCGTGGTTCTCCTCTGCCTCCCCACCCAAAGAGACACTGAAAAACATCTGGAAGCAAGAACTGAACTGAGGTGAGAAGGGTTGAACCCAGGCTGGGAAGGCGTCCAGTCTGAGAGTGGAAATACCTGAAATTTCCAGCTGCAGGCCAATGCAGCTGCCTTTCAAGATTTTCTGTAATCTACCTGTGACAATATTTAGCATGAGAAATTACTATTTGTAACCAATTTGTTTGGTAAAACAAGCTTAATTTGCAAACTGGACACCATTAAATTAGGCTTGAATAAAGCCTGAAATGGATGCGTCATTACACAAAGTAATATTCCCACCACCACCACCCCCCGTCCCTGTTACTCTCACCTTCTTGTCAACGGTTGGAAATGGGCCATCCTGATCATCACTACAAAAGGGTTTTTTTCTCCTGGTGATAATAGCCTACCTTAACTGATCACTCTCATTATAGTGTGTATGGCAACCCCATTTTTTCATGTTGTCTGTGTGTGTGTGTGTGTGTGTGTGTGTATCTTCCTACTGTATTTTCCACTGCACGCATCTGATGAAGTGAGTTTTAGCCCATGAAAGCTTATGCTCAAATAAATTTGTTAGTCTCGAAGGTGCCACAAGTCCTCCTCGTTCTTTTTGCTGACACAGACTAACACGGCTACCACTCTGAAGCTTAATATGTGTGTTTTGTTTTATTTGCTTAGTAATCTGCTTTGTTCTGTTTGCATAATTGGGGGGTTGTAAGAGGCCGTGCATACCTTCCCTCAATGTGGAGGGAGGAGGCAGATTTCGTAACATACCTTTGGGTCTGCACTCTAAGGGAGGTGGACAGCTGAGTTCTGGGGAAAGTCTCTTAAGCAGAGGCTTCCCAGAGCTGATCTCAGTATCTGCGTCCTTCTGTAGTTGGGAGTGGCCTTGCCTGTGTGTGCTGGAGGAGCCTTAATAGCCTGGCTCAGCAAGACAGGTAAAAAGGGTGCCCTGGCTGGCAGAACAGGCGGGCTTAGTGATATTCCAATACATCAGGTGGCAGCTTAAGGGGTCCAACCCATTACAACAACATGTTATGGTCACAGCCCAAGTATTTTCCAGGCTTGTAAATGATGCAGGGGAATTGGAGAGCCATTTCTCTCAGAGGTTTATTAGTATTCTGCAGTATTTTTCAGGCCTATTTTTATGGTTTGACTCAGATGGGTATTAATGTGACCTCATGCCACCAGGTCCTCTCTCTAGACATTGGAAAACAGTTGACACTGCAGGACTCCACTGTGGGAAAGGCCTAGAGCGTGGTTTCACCGCTCCAGCTGTCACTTTGGGGGATTCTTGCCAGGCAACCTTGGAAAAAGGAATCAGGAGAAGCTAAATAGGAAACTATGTTAAAGATTTAAATGAAGAGCTAATATTGGTTTGCATTGCCATATTCAGTACAATCCCACATCACAGGATGAAGATTTTCATGGTCATAAAACAAGCAAGATTATCAGTGCTGTGTCATTTATTCATATGCCATATCTCATTTATAGGAGCAACTCAGCTTTGACCACATTGGGTTGTAATGTTTAAAGATACAAAGCATGTAGCTTGCAAAGATGATGTTCCAAATGAATTCCAGTGAACGTCTGGGGATAATAGACATCCTGCTTTCTACAAATACATAATACTAGTATCTGGGCTCTGGATCCAAACTCCGTAATATCCAAATGTCATTGCTACCCTCTGAATCATGCTTTAAGTCAGGGTTTCCTATATAGGGAATTGAGCTGCAAGATGGAAAAATGTTAATGAAAGCTCAAATCATCCTCTGAAGATATTTGATCCTTTAATGGGCTGTAAACAGCTTCCATGAGTTAAGATTAGGGAGAAAGAGAGGGAGAATGTAACAAAGATGGGGAGGGGAGAGGACTGGAGACAGGAGTTGGTTTCAGATTGGACTAGAAAATACACATTATACTGTGGTTAGTGCCATTTCAGCTCTCAGCCTTAATGGGAGGATTTGCTTAAGGACTGTAGGACTGGGCTCTGTTCTAGGGCACTCCTAGCCCTGGGAGAAAGGAGACATTGCAGTACGCAGCAACGTGCAACAGATCAAGAATGGACACTGCTGACAAACGGACACAAGGGAACAAACCAACACACACTATGTAGCCTTATCCTGGGCAGATCACATACCTCCCATAGCTCAGGGCTTCTCTTTACACTTTGAGAACACACTTTTCTAGTTTGCCCTTCCAATAAAGGTTCATTGAATTGACTACTCCCCATTATAGGCAATATCCCTATAGTTATAAACTGCAGACATGTGCCCTCCAGCCTGCTCCCTCTGAACTTTCTTCTATTGATTTCAACGGGCATGGGATAACAGACTGGAAGGGAAAAATGCTTCTGTTATGCTGCAGAGGAGTTTAATGGAAAATACAGTGAGTTTGATTCTCCCCACTGCTTTTAGGCTACTATAACTCTGACTTCAGTGGACTTACTCCAGTTTCACTCTGGGAGAAACAAATCCAACTCCTTTGTGTCTCTTTTTCACTTGCCTAGACAAAGTGTTTCTCTGTAGCACACCAGACAAGCTCATGGACTTCACAGAGACT